TAGAAGCTAAAGTAACTGGTAGGGCAGATATAACACCTAAAATATATCTTTAAATCACTTCCCTTTCTCTTCAAATCATTATTTGAGCTCTACTTAGTCAAACCAGCTTTTCCAAAACAAAACTTCTGGAGTTTGTAGCTGTCCAAAGATAACAACTCTAAAAAAGGTCTCAAGATCCCATAAAAAACAATAAGTGAAATTCAAAAGTAATATGTTTGCAGAGGGATACTTCTAATATTGCACCTGTTGTACAACATCCTTTGCCTCTGCTGTCACAAAAACCAGCTTAGCTTTGTGCAGATGACACGACAAGGAAAAGCAGACCCAAGAGAGATTAAGAAAATACTCACAAACTTGAGCCAGAGATTAAGATAACGAGGATCTTTGTAGTATCGCTGCTGCTCATTGAGGGCTTTCACTGCCCTTTCCAAAACTGCTGCCAGATTTCCATCTTTCCCACCCTGGGGGAAGGTCTGCTCTGTCCACTTGATGTACCTACAGATGGAAGATATTCACAGGAAGTCAGTTCTGAATAAGTTTCTGTACAATCTAAGGGGATTTAGAAAAAAAAATAATAATTGAAATTAATACTGAAACACAACACATTATTCAAACACTATTATAGAATTTAACTTGGAATGAGTTTCTAAATTAGAATGCTTTTCCCTTGCTTTTCCAAGGATATCTGACCTTTCTACTTTTTTTTGGAAAAAAAAAGGGAAACTTACCGGTCCCACACATCCAGAGGGTCATCTCCTGAGTAAAATCGGATTTCTGATTCAAATTCTCTAAAAGATAAAATTATCCATCCAATAAGTACATGTGTATCACTGGAAATACATTTTCCACACTGTAAACTATTATAGCTAAAAGTACAACCGAATCTCCCTGGTGTTTGCTGTTTAAATGCTCCACTGCAAACCTGAAAGTTGCAGTCTGTACCACACAGCACCTACAGCGAGTAGTTCTAAACACCTGGAGTGTGACAGTAGCACAGACATCAGCTACTCAACCTCTTTTATGCCTTTTTTAACGCTTATGAGATTAGTACAGTTGAGTAAGACAGAGAAAAATGAGGAGGAGAAGGGAGGAATATAAGGGGAAAGGAGGTGTTATAACATCACCCACTGTTTTTTGAGCTGCACAGCGGTGTGGCTGGAGGAGTCCTGCTGAGCCAGCGCCTCCTGCAAGCTGGACATCACCCGCCCCTGCCTGAGGGGCTGCACGTTCTCCTTGCTCAGCTCCCACTCATCGCCGCACTCCTGGGACATGACCGCGGCTCCTTTAGCCCTGCGCTCACAACAACAACAACAACAACATCATCACGTGTTGGCAGGATACAGACCTGAAACTTCACAGGCCCGCCCTTCATCAGCCCATTCACGCCAAATTTACTGCGCAGTCAAAACACACCGTTTAGATGCCCAACTCTTAGAGGGACTTTGGGTTTTAATTCCCTTCCGTGGGAATTGCATGAAACGAAAGGCAATGTTAACAATGAAGAACCTCTGGCAGGCGACGTCTGCAGGGCAAGCCCTTCAGATGATGGCGATTCCCTTCCCGGGGATTCCCTTCCCTGCCCCGAGGCTCACACCCTCCGCCCGGGGGGAGCCTGAGCGGGGACCCGAGTTCATCCGAGTCCCTGTGGCTCTTCACCTGCGAGTAGCGCGAGAGCAATAATTCTCCGTTGTTCAGTGATTTTCTATCCGCCTTTACGATCTAAATTTCTATTTAAGGTAGTTGCGGAATAAGGCAAGTTTCTGAATGCTTTAGTTAAAGCAGTGGTAACGTAAGTATCCAGTTTCCCGACAAGAGATGCCGAACGAAGGTGCTCTGTAACCAGCTCCAGTTCAAGTAAAGTTCGAGCTCCAAACGACCACCAGAGACCATCGGGAAACCCCTCGGGCCGCCGCGGCCCCGCGCTCCCCTCAGCCCTCGGCCCCGCGCGCCCCTCACGGCCGCCTCGGCCGGAATCAGCCCACGGCCAGATTTTTCCAAAACTCGGTCCTTTTAATATCTAAAGAGATGCACAGTTCTGGGAAAAAAAAAAACTGCTGCAAAATCCCTGCGCTACCAGATGAACTACAGCACTCTGCCACAGAGCGCTGAGTGCGCGTACAAGACCGGTCAGAGTAACAGCACTGACCTAATGTTTTGCTCGATTAGCTGGGGACCTTGCGCTCTGTCAAGTTCTTCCCCGCGAATATCCCACTACGGTCCGCAGCCGTATTTTTCCCGACTCACTGTCCCCAACAAGTAATTTACAAAAGCAAAGCAGATTCTGTGAATGAGAGTTCAGAACTGAGGTCTCAGCCCGCAGCTCCGCGCGCCCCTCACGGCTCCGCGCGCCCCTCGGCCCCTCACGGCTCCGCGCGCCCCTCGGCCCCTCACGGCTCCGCGCGACCCTCAGCCCCTCATGGTCCCAACGCACCTCTCATCCCTCACGGCTCCGCGCACCCCTCGGCTCCTCAGCCCGCGTACCTCGCACCCTTCAGCCTCTCACGGCTCCGCGCACCTCTCGCCCCTCACAGCTCCCCGTACCCCTCAGCCTCTCGCAGCCCCGCGCGCCCCTCAGCCCCTCACGGCTCCGCGCGCGCCCCTCAGCCCCTCACGGCTCCGCGCGCGCCCCTCAGCCCCGCGCGCCCCTCAGCCCCTCACAGCCCCCACGCACCCCTCGGCGCCTCAGCCCGCGTACCTCGCACCCCTCAGCCCCTCTCGGCTCCGCGCACCCCTCACAGTCCCGGGCCC